TGATTTCAATTGCCATCATCAATCATGGGGCAGTTCTAATACAAACAATTATGGGGATGAATTATTAGACATTATTGATTGTCATAATATTTGTATCTTAAACACTGGTGAAGCTACACGTGTAACAAAACCAAATCAAAATAAAAGTGCTGTTGATCTGTCATTATGTTATCCTAGTCTTGCATCTTCTCTTTCTTGGCAGATACTTTCTTCATCATATGGTAGTGATCATTATCCTATTATTATAACTTTTCCTTTCTCTAAACCTTCAAACCCCTGTCGAATCTCCCATCTCAAACATAGGCTTCCAAATAAAGACAGTAAAGACTGGGAAAAATTCACAACTTCAGTTCAGTCAAAATTATATTTGCTCCCTAACATCAACTCTAGTTCTGAGCCTGAAAGAGCTGAAGCTTTGAGTAATCTTTTTATAGATGCAGCTAATGAAGTCTTCCCTAAAAAAGTTTACCCCAATAAAATTCCATCTCCTCCGTGGTGGGACAATGAGTGTACGGAAACTGTGAAACAAAGAAAAGCTGCTGAGAAAATATATAAACAAAATATGACTGAATCTTATTATGATAAAATGTCAGACTTGATAAAACTTTTTAAACAAAAAAAATTTGAAGGGTGGCGTAGGTTCTGTATCTCTATCTCCCCTAACACTCCACCAACATTAGTTTGGCAAAACATTAAAAGATTCAAATCGGCTGTCAATAACAACTCTTCATCAATGATACCACCACAGCTAATAAACCCTTTCTTAGATAAATTAGCTCCTCCCTGGGTTTCGAACGATATCTCCATCTCTTCTTCCTTAGCTAACTCTGATATTAGTGCTCCGTTTAGTTTATATGAATTAAAAGGTATCATCCAAAATACGAAAAACTCTGCCCCTGGGAGCGACGGTATCCCATATTCTTTTCTTTCCAACGTTTGCAATAATACATTACAATATTATTTAGATTTAATAAACTCGTCAATGATCTCAGGTAATACCCCCTCATCTTGGAAACGTCAAACAGTGTTGCCAATCTTAAAACCAAATAAAATTCCTTCTGAAGCTTCTTCATATCGACCCATTGCTTTGTCTTCGGTTTTACTCAAACTAGCGGAGCATTTAATCAAAAACCGTATAGATTGGTTTCTAGAAAGTAAAGGCATTTTAGCCAATACTCAGTATGACTTTAGAAAAGGTATTTAGGAACCGTAAGATTGAAGGTGTGGGTCCCTACTGTGGTGATGGAGACAACTGGCCAGGGAGACTAAAGGATAATTGTCTCCCTCCGAGCTAGGTGTTGTTAGCCCGGGGACCGCGGTCCAACCGATGTAGGTTGGACGTTCTATTTATGTTAATTGGTAATGAAACTTATTCTGTGCGATCTAGGTTTCTTTGTTCTTTGCAGTTCGTCTTGCTATCGATGGCTGTGACGATGCTAGTCTTCTCGCTATCGATTGTTGTGGCGATGTTACTGCGATGAATTAGATGTCGCTATGTATCAGTCGCCACAGTACTTTCCCCCTAGACCGAAGGTCGATCCATGTTGATAGTACGTGGTATGCAGTTAGTGCTTCAGAGGTTGCAAGTGCCATGGTTGTGACGTCGGGACCGAATCTGCTGGTGTGCAGGGCTGCCACGCCGGTGAGTTGTGTGTGAACTGAGGTCCGGTCGTGGGCTGCGAGGACCAGGTCGGGATGATGCCGTCGAGTGGTGCCAAGTATCCAGGAAGCGTCGTCGATGCTGCTGTGATGGACCTTGGTGTTGGCTGGCTTGCTGCTGAAGTGACTGTGCTGGTGAGGGATGAGAAGCTGATGATGAAGGGTGAGAGGCTGTTGATGAAGAGTGATGGCTGCGTTGTGATGCTGAAGGTTGCTGGTGTTCTGCTGGGGTCACCACTTTAGGAACCTTAAGATTGAAGGTGTGGTCCCTACTGTAGTGACGGAGACAACTGGCCAGGGAGACTAAAGGATAATTGTCTCCCTCCGAGCTAGGTGTTTTTAGCCCGGGGACCGCGGTCCAACCGATGTAGGTTGGACGTTCTATTTATGTTAATTGGTAATGAAACTTATTCTGTGCGATCTAGGTTTCTTTGTTCTTTGCAGTTCGTCTTGCTATCGATGGCTGTGACGATGCTAGTCTTCTCGCTATCGATTGTTGTGGCGATGTTACTGCGATGAATTAGATGTCGCTATGTATCAGTCGCCACAGGTAGAAGCACACTCGATAATATTGCTTTCTTCACTACAGATATTCGCATAGCTTTCTCTAATAACGATTCGGTAACAGCTGTTTTTGTAGACTTGTCTTCTGCGTATGATAATGTCTTATTAGATATTCTCAAAATTAAACTATTATCTTTAGGTATACCTTCCCATTTCATAAATTTCATTCTCAACGTTTTAACAGAACGCAAAATAGAAATATATTACGACAATATTATTTATTCTCGGACTATTTCAAAAAGCCTTCCGCAGGGGTCAGTCCTTAGTCCTATTCTGTATAATGTTTATATACATACGATTTAGAAGATAATATTTGCTCAAATAAATATATCAAAATACTTCAATACGCCGATGACCTATTATTGTATTACATTAGTCATTCCATTGAGGATTCGCTTCTTAAATTAACATCTGCTTTATCTAATTTAAAATATTGGATGGATTCTAATGGGTTACAACTGTCTGCTTCTAAAAGTGCTGTCGTAGTATATACGCGTAAAAATAAACTCCCTCCTATTTCCCTAAAGTATGATAATGCTGCTATTCCCGTTAAAGAACACGCGAAATATTTAGGCATAGTTTTAGATTCGAAACTTTTAGGCACCCGCCATTGTGTATATGTTGCTGATAAATGTGAACGCTTATTAAATATGATAAGATGCCTTTCAGGTGTTTGGTGGGGAGCTCATCCATATTGTTTAAAGTTGGTTTAGAACGCCCTTATTAGAAGTGTTTTAGATTACGGTACATTTTTGCTAGAACCAGGTAATGTTACAGCCTTTAGGAAGCTAGACAAAATTCAACATAAAGCTCTGAGGATAATATTGGGAGCCATGAAGTCGAGTCCCATAAACGCTATACAAATAGAATGTTGTGAGCCCCCCCTAAAACTAAGACGACAATATATTTGTGACAAATTCTGTTTTCGTACTATTCAGTGTTCAAATTATCCACTTCTTTCTAAGATTAAGGCACTTTGTGAAATATTTTCTACTTCGAGCTATTGGACACATAAAACTCCACCATGTCTCATTATTAGTTATAAGAAATTCATCTCCCTTTCTTCTCCTACTTATGTGTCAAATTACCTTCCTATTTTTAATGTCGATTATGACATTGTTGAAAAATCTGATATACACGCTAAATTAAACTTTTTTGAAATCGCGATTGACAGCAGATTCAATGGCTATCACCACATATTTTGTGATGCTTCCAAGCATTCGAAATCTACCTGCGTTAGAGTCGGTATTTATCATTTTCAGCATAAAATAGTTCAGAAAGTAAAACTCCCCCCAGAATCATTCGTCTATTCAGGAGAGTGTTTTGGCATATTCAAAGCTTTAGAATACTGTAAAATCATGAAACTTTAATCAGTTATAATATTTTCAGACTCAAAGTGCTTTACAGTCCATAGAAAAATCCCCTCTCAAATTTTTATTCTCCCGTTATTTTTGACATCGGACAAATGATACAAAATGTCTGAAGAATTTGCCTGGGGTTCCAGCTCATGTTGGTATAAAGGGTAATATAATAGCTGACAGGCTTGCTAATGAGGCAGTATCATATGGAGATGTTTTTCCTTTTAAAAACTATTATTCAGATTTATTAGCAAAAATTAAAGAGAAATGGGAACAAATGTGGGAAATTAGTAAATTGACAAAAAGTAAATTTTATGCTTATTAATTTTACAAAATCATATTCCTTTAAAACCTTGGTTTTTCTTAATAAGGTGTGGCAAGCTAGAAACCTCTACGATTGCACGTATGAGACTTGGTCATTCTTCTGCACCTTCTCATCTAGCTAAACTCCATTAATCAATGATCCTAGGTGTGACTATGGATCATATTGTTTTCTCCTGTCCTAAATTTCAATGATCCTCCCTCTGGCAAGACCTAACATCCCTTCGTTTTCCATTCCCGACTAACATAACTACACTATTATATACTAATGATCAAGCAATATATAAATGTATCATATCATATCTCATACTCAATAATATAAAATTGTAAACAATGTTAATAGATATATTATATTTAATATTATAAATACCATACATTCCTAATTCCATCCATTCCATATTCGTTTCTCAAATTGTTTTACTCACATTGGCAAAATGCACAAGCCGTGCCTGCCATATTATATAAAAAAAAAGTTTGTAAGAATTTTATTTCAATTATAACTTAATCTCAAGCAAATCAAGGGCCCCTCAAAAAAGTTGCTGCAGGCCCGCTCTGGCTTAATCCGGTACTCCGGAAACAAACACATTCAGAAGTCGCTAGAAGTTGGTGCCGGCGCTATGCAGGTGTTCCAGCACCTGACCTTCGCACTGGGTGACCTTAGTATTTCAAACATAATGAAAAATTAATTTTTCAGAAGCTGTTGCAAATTTTTGTCACAACCACTCAGTCTTTATAACAACGTCTACGTCGAATGATAACGTTGAGTAGGTACATTTTGATCGTGCCTTCTGCGCAGTACCATTTTCATAAATAGCAGCGGTTTCAATTAAAATCTTAGAGACTCACTCGGGTGATACGGTTACCGTGAGAGAAATTTATCAGCTGATTATTTCAATATAATTTATCCATTTAATAACTATGATTCATTAATATAATTATGGTAAGCTTTGTCTGTAGCGCAAAAAGGAATTGTAAACTATATCAAAAGCCTTGTTGAAATCCTTGGAACCAAACGAACAGTTGGCCAAAAATTGTATTATCATTATACATACTTATATTTAATTTGTGAAGGATTGAAGGCATAATTGAAACAATGAGACATATTTACAGTTTTATTAAAACAAATATTATACAAAGTGGACATAGGTAACAATTCTGATGAACAAACCGAAGCTAAGAATTGACGAAATCTCCTGTCACTAATTTAGACTATTAAGAATAGTTTTTCTTATAAACGAGTATCTTACAAAAGAATCAACAACAGGTAACACTATAATGTTGTGTGGTGATTCAAACGAATTATATTCACCAAGTTCTGGTATTACATCATCGTCTTCAGATAGTAAATCTGGTTCTTTTTCTATCATAGTATGTAATGTAACACATTTCCATTTAAATAGAACATAGCTAACATCTTGAACAGCTGCAGTAGATAAGAATTCGCAATTGTCTGCTAAATAAGATAAACTAGACCCGGGGTTTTCGAAAACTTTATTCATCACTACTCCAGCCCATTTCAAAAATATATCCTTTCTTATTTCTGCGTCTATTGTTAGCCAGGGTTTACTCAGTATGTAATATTTGTTTATTGCCATCGACCACTTTTTAATATACTCCATCATGATGATAATATTGTCGTAGACACCAACACGTTTGATGATTTTTTGAGTAATCAATTTTGTTAGAGTTTTGTTCAAAGATTCATAGTTGAGTCCAGAAATGTCCTGTCAAAAAAAAAAATTGAATGTCAGTAAAAGAAAAGATTCGATATTACCACTCGTATGGCTTATAGCGGAGGCGAAGAATTAGTAAATTAGGCGAAGAAAAACTAATAGACGTAAGTTTTATCGACTATTCACATCACATCACATCACCAGCCCTTTTACGTCCCCACTGCAGGGGCTCAGGCCTACCTCATGGATGGTTAAGGAGGATGGGCCATGACCCTCTACGCTGGCCCAATGCGGATTGGAGGGTATTAACGACTGCAAATGCAGCCGGGACCAACGGCTTAACGTGCCTTCCGAAGCACGGAGTAGCTCGAGATAATCGTTTTTTGGTCACCCATCCGGTGACCGACCCTTGCGAAAGTTGCTTAACGACAACGATCGCGGGCCGCGGCGCTAATCCACTACGCCACCGAGCTATCGACTATTAAATGCACTTAAGTTTTAATTTTTATTCATTGATGGTGCTTTTTTGGTTAGCTTGGTTGTTTGTTCTTAACAATTATTGTGTTTTTTATAGACCTATTGCTAGTCTAAAAATAACATGAATAAAGGCAAAAATTAATCAAATTAATTACTACAAGATGTAAGTAACGAGGGCTACCGCTTGCTTACCAGATAGCGCGAAGGTCGCGAGAGGTCATGTCAAAGTTTGTTTGCTACGTGCGTGAACTTAAATGATACATAAACAAACTAATTTATTAAAAATATTTGTTGTTTTTTCAACCCGCTTAATTTTGCACCTCTTTTTCTTAGCACTGTTTTTAAGCACTTAGCGTCATTGTATTGCTTTAATTACATTTACATTTCACACATGAGTTTTCGTCCGTTCCGTTAAGTAGTAATATGCACGTGATATTCGTGTCCGGTCGCGTACAATCAACTGAATATGTTGAAGAAGACGAGATATACAGGAAAGGACGGCTGATCTCTAGAGCTCGCTATATTATCAGCAAACAGCACCCGTCAGATCACTCCGTCAGTCATTTTGTTTTCCCCACCAAGCACTGATATTAATTCATAATTGCTAATAGTTATTTAAGATACGAGTGCGGGAAGTAAGGTTTTGTTTAATTACAACATTTTTCAATGTTTTTGGGCACGAATTCGAAAAACCTTTTACGCTCAAGTTTCTTACAACATTTTTCAATGTTTTTTGGGAGGAAATCAAAACAAATATATAGGTTAATAAAACTAAGTATGTACTAAAGGTAAAAATTATTGTTAAAATTAAACGTGATATTTGAACATGTTTTCGTGTCATACATTTTTATTTGAAAATATTCGTTCTAGGCTCCTTGAAATACTTTTGCCTCTAAAGTTTGACATATTTTCATCAATTTTTTTTTAAATTTCTTTGGTGCTCGGCAAAAAAAAATTAAAAAAATACTTTTAAGCACGTGTGCAGTAAAGGATTTCAGTACATTTTTATTTAACACGTGTTTAAACACTCACTTTCGGTGTTTACAATGGATTAAAAAACAGCGCTTTATGAGCAACTGCATTGAAAATATATATAAAGTGTTTATTTGAAAAAACAAAACGCGCGTAGCTCACGAAGAATTTAGAAGTCCTCACGTTACACTAGCGCCTCTTATGGCTAACTATGAAAACGTTTGCCTCCATAATACATTTTATGTCAGACAACGAACTGGTTATGTAGCATAGTCCTTTTTCCATCATAATTGAACGAATGAAAGACTCTTTAATGTACACATCATAAGTAAATGAACAATACACAATAATGTAACAGACAGTACAATTGGCGGCCTTGTTGCTAAAAATCAATTTCTTCCAGGCAACCTTAACGTAATATTCAGGATACAATTGTGAAATTGGTTAGTCTATGGTGCATTAAGAAGTCCTTATCATTACGAAAAACATTATTGGTTGAGCACGAAAATAAATATACAAGCATACATAGCCACATACACACAAATAAATATATAAATACATTTACACATATACACTTAAGGATGCAAAGTTAGGAATTATTTCTCATGTGACAACAACACCATTTTTCTTAGTTTGTTTTATAAAATTTGAGACAACATAGGTAAGTCATAAATATTGTAAGCTCATTTCAGGTAATAGCTGTGGATTTATATAATGATATCAAGAAAATCGCAGTTTATTTTAGAATAATACCTTCAATTCACGCAAATTGCTTCCATTTTCCCGCTTTTGTTTAAGATGTGCTATAATTTTGTCTTCCACTTCGGTATAAACATTTTCTAAATTTGATCCCAGAATTTCATTTTGTTCCATCACTGATTCCCTGGAAAAAGGTAAATAGTTCTGTAAGATATATTTTTTATAATAGTGCAGTGTGCGTGAAAGCAGATACTCAAGTTGAGCTTTCATAGAATAAGGAAGTCCTGAGTAGTTTTACGCCCATAAAGGTAATGGCCACATGTAGAGTTTTTCAAATATCATAACTAGCTGATTAGATAATATAATTTATACCTTAGGATATCCTGTAAAGGTTCTTCAATCTCCATGTTTTTGTAAATATCTACAAAGTTCTTAATGTCGCTTCTAACTTTCCAGGCAAGTGTGCCAGATTTTAATTTATATCTAGATTCTATGTCTATGGCATTTAACTGATCTTCTTGAATTATGGATCCTGAAAATCCAGATATAGCAGGTGCAACTGTCATGGTTATTTGTAGGACACCCATTATTTGAAGCTCAGAACAAAAACAGTTTAACTCTGGTGAACCTTTCAGATCATCTTCGACAGTTGATTTATAAAAACAGTTGGCCAGCTCATCTACAAATTCTGAATTGAGTCTGATCAACCATTTGCGTTGGTATTGTGCAGATATCTTATACCAGCAATCTACTATGTCATCTAAGTTAACTTTGTGCAAGAGTCCATTTAATATCTTTTCTTTAGCTGAAATAGCTCTACTCTGTCTTAATTGTATAACAGCTTTCCTCAATGTCCTTTCGTCGTATCGTTTAAAATTGTGATAAATTTTTTTAGCATTTTCTTTTGGCATAACATTTTCAAAAGATAGCATAACAGTTAATATTATAGATTCCTTTAATGGACCAATTACAAAATCATCAGGGGCAGATTGATACTTATTTCCTGGTCGATTAGCAGATGATGGTACCACTGTGAATTTTTTATAAAGTTCATCTAAATTCGGAAAGACAGGAACAGTTTGTTTGACCGAACAAGCTTTTAATACAGTCATTAAAACCCATATTAATTCCATCATGGGCACTCTTGCAGCAAGCAGATATTTTGTATTATTACAATTGGAATTAAGAATTCTTAATTTTTTTAGCATACTGTCATACTTTTGCGTAATACCAACATGACGTTTTAGTTCAACCATGATGCAGTCATTTAGATGTATCATTGTAGAATTAGCATCTACAATTGATGCTCTTTTATGACATGCCTTTTGACTTTTTTTGGGATCTCTAATGGATAGTATATCCTTAGTGACCAAATTTCTGACTTGCAAACAACCTGGTTGTGATATAGGGCTCATAATAGTTATAGCAGTTTTACACAACATTATAATCATATCCTCTTCAGGCGTCCAAATTATTTGTTCAGAAACTTTCTTTCTGCTTGGTAAGGGTTGTCTCAACAAAGCTTGTTTATATTGCAATTTTTTTATGTGTGGTAGTTTTTCAATCAATTTTGGTTTTTGTATTGCTTTCTTTACAATTCTTTGAACTTTTCTTTTAGGTTTTTCAAACTTAGGTATTTTAATAACTGATTGTCGCTTTTGTTTATTTGGAGGAATGTGATTAGATCTCGCGCAATAAGCTCTCCACAAACGCTGTACATCAAGGTAAAAGTTTGAATCAAATCCACAAGGTCCCAAATTATCTCCAAATCTGAGCCCAATATCATATTCATCTACCTCATTTTGTGTCCTTATTGAAACCGGAGGTGGTTTTCCCCGTTTTCGGTTAGGTATATCAATTACAGTAGCAGTACTTATGGAGTAAACTGCGTCCCAAAACTCTGTAACACGATCAAACGTTTCAAAATGAAACTGTTTTTCGAAATTCTGGATATTCACATTTCGTTTTGGCCAATCACCTGATGTATCAAGTATTGTAGCATTTTTATTAACATAGAATAAGTGAATAGCAAGACAATTGTCAGGTATGATTACATTCATGGGAGCAACTTGTGCTATTAGTTGGACAAGTCCGAACATCGCAAGTACTTTCAAATTAGTTCGTATAGATTTGTCAAGATGACTTGTATTTGTTAGAGCTTTATATAACTCCTCTGGTACATAGCGTAATTTAGTTTGAAGAAGTTCGTCGTTTATGTTAAATCTTGAAATATTCAAAATACCAGCACTGCATATGGTGCCTAATGCAATTTCTAGGGTCAATTCTGGAATCAAATCTTTTATATAGACAAATCCTTGAGGTAAGCCATTTGGTTCCGATTTAATGTCTTCAAAATAAGCATATTTTATCATAGCCATGTGTAGTTTCTGGAGTTTCATATAACGAGGGAAAGAATACTCAGTCAAAGATCTCGATATTGTTGCATTTTTCTTAGCTTGTTGTATATTTCGTGTACTATTTTTCACGATAACCATACCTTTAGTTCTTATTTTTGGGTGAGATGGTTTAATATGCGGAGCACAGATGACATTGGTAAATTTATCATTGTACCCAGGCCATTTGATAGTGTAAATTTTAATACATCCATCTATAACCAGTCTTTGGAGAAACGTTTTCAGAGCTTTTCCATCCATAGGTGGTTGTTTGGTTTCTGCAGCAATGAGCCTACCCAATTCTTGGTAATTAAACACAATTTGACGGTCACGTATGACTTTTAATACACCACTGGCAAATTTCAATTGTCTAAGAGTTAGTTTTTTAGATGACTCTGATAGTGGATTTGGAAGATTCATAGGCACACCAGGTATAGTCTTAATTTCAGTGATTTCAGCTTCATATTCAGTGTGTTTTTCAGATTCATTTTCTATTTTAATTTTTTTTCTGGGAACTTCGGAATCTTCAGAGTCAGATGAAGATTTATTTGACTCTTTGTTATCATTAGGATTGATACATTCATCAACATATTTTAGAAACTTCTCTTTTTCTTTCGAATATTGAATGTCCATCTTTGCGGTAGCTGCAACAGCAATGAATCTGCAAACAATAAGCATTATATTAGTATTTCATGTTTAAATTTCGTATTTTTAATAATAAATTTATAACATACCAACCTTGCCAATCGTTGTCTACCTTTATCTTCTAAAAATTCTCTAACTATATTTTTTGCCTTAAAAAGTCTACAAATTGTTCTGCTTACATAAAACTCAATACCTAAGAGTTCTCCTAATTCTATTTGTGTTAAACCTTCAAGTCCTGCTTCTAAAAATCTTTCATATGCTTGTCTCAGCAAGTTGACACCCACTTTGTATTGACATTTCATTGGTGATTTATGTTCTTCGTCTTCAGATTCAGAATGTTCGTCATCACTTATAGAGCTTAAATAAATATAACGACGTTTCTTATTTGGCCTTTCTCTTTTCTTTGATGTTGCAAGTTCATTTAATTTAACAGGTTGTTCTTCCTAGAACATATTACATATTTAATAACTATATAGTTCGAGGGTTCGAGTCCCATCTCAGGTTGCCCAGGACAAAATGTTAAGCATTATTCATTAAGAATAACTTTATTATATTTTATATCATAAAACTTAAAATTTTTATTAAACTTAATGGTTTAGGAGGCATCTAGTTTCTTTCTTTATCATAGAAATAATTTCTTTAAAAAATATACTTACAAAACCAAATATGTAGAACTTTTTTTGGAATCTTTTGTTTTGTTGTTGTGTCATTAAACCTTTACTTACAACTGTTTCAGTAGATTCACAATAATTTGGTCTTTCTTTTAAGTATTCTATCAGATTGTGAATCCAACCAATTTTTGGGACACTTAGTATAGAGCTTTGGTGAAACCTTCTCAGTCTCAATAAAATTGCTTTTGATGCTCCTCTATTTGCCATAACTTGTGTAATATGTGACACTCTTACTAAGTCCAAATCTTGTAGTATTTTTCTATTGTAGAACAATAATTTAGAATCCTTGAGAATTTTTGCCACGTTCGATTTACCGACAGTCATTTGTCCCTGGAATAAAAATAATAATACAATACTATAAGAATCAACTGTACTCACACAATCTGGGGGGCATGGAAGTGCCCTAGCCAAGTAAGCATAAAGTTCATTTTTACATCACCTTATAACACTTCATTTGTTTCATATTTTGATATACATACCTACACACATTTACTTTGTAGAACATGATTGAGAATAGCTATTAATAGGGTAGTTTCGGTGATAACAAATAAGTCACGAAATTGCACAAAAACTAAAATTTACATAGTTATAAACATTCTGATTTAGGATACCCTACTAGAGAGGTAATTCTTATTTTAATTGTAATTACTATAAAGAGAATTATAATGGGTACTTACATTTTCCCTTGACCTGCCTATTAATTCTAGAAGGCAGTAGTGAATTTTTTTAAATTGAGCTATATATGAAAATGGTAAATGTGGAGCCAAAGCAGCCCAACGTTCTTCTTTTGATGCAACAAGAACTAATGTGCCATTGTATTTTGATATCACATCTTTAAATGACATTTTTGATATACTATTTTTGTCAAGTAGTATTCTCTTTTTGAAGTGTACACATGATCCATTGTCTTCTTCAACTGGGTGATACTCATAAGGTCCATCAAGATAATCTTCCTAAAAATAATTGTAGGGGCCAATGAAACCACCTATTTGAATAAATAGACATTAACAAGAGGAACTGGAATTACTATTTGAAAGAATATTCCAGAAGTTTATGTTTAAGAGATATTTTTATAAATAAAGATGATTATCACATAGATGAACAACGTCCATTTCAGAACAGGCCTCCCCAATGGATCTCTATGAGAAATGGGCATTGTGATGCTGATATCAATTCCTTACTGTGTACAACAATCACGGCCTAGAAAGGGGTCGTACTATTTTATGCTGACACATACATGTTACTCATATGTATTAGTATATCTGCATTTTCATATTTAACTATTCTCAATGGTCATTGCATATTTTATTTTTATACAGTATTTTAGCATAGACATAAATATAAATAAATAAATAAATATTTAACAACATCACATACATTGCTCAGATTCCAAGATGAGTAGCTTCAGCCCCCGTATTATGGAGTATCTGAGACAACGAATGTACCACAACACCCAAACCTGAGTCAATATAGAAAAGTTCATTTTCTACATTGACCCGACCGGGAATCGAACCTGGGACCTCAGAGATGGCGACACCTTGAAACCGGCGTGCGAACCACTCGGCTACGGAGGTCAAAGTCAATAAAAAAAAATCTATAAACAATTGTTAAATTTAAACATGCCTCTCAAACTTGTATCAAGGTATAAGAATTGAAACAGAACATATGGTTTTATAAATAACCTTTTTATGTCATCAGAAATGTAAAAATGGTTGTGATATTTTAATCATTATGCACATGTTAAGTAGTTTCCATGAACATTATTATTAGCATTTTATACTGCATGTAATCCTGCAAATAAAAGTATAATCCCTTTTATTCAACATCCAGAAAACTTTGATAGTTTAAATATAATTTGATAATACAAGATTATAAAACTAGTAAGTACAATTTAGTAATGAGAATTTTATGATAGCCAGAACTTGAAATGGTGCCAATTCTGTTGTACCACAGTCATAACTGAAGAAATCTAAAATGTAATGTAATTAGATGTCACATGTCATAAAAAAAAATGTATCCAGTAAGTTTACTTCTATTACCTCATACTTTTACAAGGTTAAATGATAAATTTAAGCTCTAATAATGGTCTTAATTTAAAAATTATAATACTTTTTAAATGCTTTTCAATAGAGTAGGTACATAACATGTTGGTGATGTGGTTATATCTTTAGACCTATCTACCCATAATCAATAATAGCATGCAAAATTCTTCACATTGACTCATTATATGATGTTACCATGGTATTACTCATATCAATTCATTAAATCTAATAAAAATCAGAATAATTGTCTATGTATTGATTTTAAGAAATATATCAAAAAGACATTTGTAATTCAAGATTCATTTATAGAATGCCTTTTCCATTAACCAATTATGCAGTGATTTTTTTAAGTGGTTTAATATCACCAGGAATTCTATTATACAAAGTTTTAGAGATTGACTGTTTTTGAGGAAACATTTTGTTTTCTATTATTGTCTAACTGTCTATTACTTTTAGTTGTTACTTGTTGTGCTTCAGTGAATATGGGACTATTGTTTTTCACAAATTTTCCTATTTTGAGGACAAAAGGAGGAGTCAGGGTTAATATATATTTTTTTTAAGAAAGGTTCACATGAAACATCTGGTGCTATACTGCAAATGGCTCTTATGCATGTTTTTAAGCAATAAACATTTTTGATTTTAATTGGTAACATTGCTTTTTTTGCATACAATTAACTTATAGGAATAATTAGTTTTTAGTAATTAGTTTTTAATATTTGGAATAAATTCTTATCCTTCAATTAAAGACAAACTAAAACAGTACGGAGTAAAACAAATATTATATTACTTTGATATATGAATTGGTATATTAATTGTATACATAAATTTTACTTACTGGTTCCTTTAAGTCTCCACTTATTTTGTCAATTATTGAAAATCTATCCAAAACATCTAGGCATGGCATGGGTTCTGGATTTTCATACAAAGATATAGTGTCACATTTGAGAATAATATTCCAAAACCGATTTTTCAATTTCTCAGTTACAGGTGAAGAAATGCGCTTCTCAATTCTTTTCCATAAAAGATCAATACCTGTTCCTGCTAAACCTTCTAGAGCAATTTCATCAATTAAGATATCTTTGAAAGGAAAAGAGAAAGTAATATCTGTAGTAGCCATAATTTCAGATTTTTTTTAATGAAGTTGTGCTTTCTTCTATTTATTTAATACACGTCTAAACAGTGATAGACTGTTTATTTAAAGAAATAAATTTTACTTTTCGGTATCTTATCGAATTACGCAAAGATAATTTAATAATTAACTTTAAAAACTTTATGGAATTGCGACGAAAACCAGAAAACTATTTTCTGAATATATCTGAAAATATTTTAATCACATTTTGCACCACCACGACCAGAAAATACTACAGTATGTAACACACCAAGTGAGCGGATGATCAGAAAATAATTTATAGACCACGATGACATTGACAGATGTCAAAAAAACATTTTATTTTAAGGACAAAGGAACCTTTTCTAAACAGCTTAGTTGATAAATAGAAACAAAGAGTAGACTATTATTGTATTACGGGAATAGAAAACTATTTTATAGAAAAATCGATTTAAGCTTCGATCAACAATACAACTAGATAACACCTCCATACCAAAAAAATACTCAAATACGGTACCAAATCATAGACCGTCTAAATCGAAGGAACGAAATCTAAAAGCTAAGATACTTTTTATAACAAAAATTAACTCACTATGTTGCAAACCCTGCCTAAAAAATAGAGCAACAACATTATGAATTACTCACATATTTTAAGTCTTAAAAATTTACTCTAAAACAGTGATTTTCATGGTATTTTATTAACAGTGATTTATTCCCTATCTTATTACTTCTACTTATTTAAAATCTTATCTTTTTGTATGCCTCACACAAAAATGATCAAAGAAGCCGCCTACGCCAGTGGGTCACTGCGGTTTTCTTTTATGTAATTCACTAGTTCGGTCTCTATTCCGAACTAGTGAATCAATAGACTAGTTCGGTCTATTACACTATTTCTTTCAGCGATCAATAGGGTAATTGACACTATCGAAAATAAGTTGAATTTTGTGGTCATCCTGATAGATAATAATCTAATAAAGCTTATTTCTTAACATCTGCAGAAAAAACATGTTTAGATTTAGTAAAATAACGTAAAGAAAATGCAATATTTTTAGGAATTTATTCAACGACGAAGAAACGAACTAAGCTTTTTAAAAAAATCCAAGAAATAGGGAAAAAGCCATCAATTTAAAAAAAAGAGCAACTTACATGTTTTTCTCATTTCTTGAACTTTAATATAATAATTCAAAATTACAAAGTCAATTTTGATGATATACAGAAATAATTTAAAACCACTGCGAAGATTTTGTGAAAATAAACTCTAAGTAATTTAAACAAACACGTATTTTTTATTTTAATATGTTCTAATACTAAAAAATAAAGTTATCGCTTATCAAAGATCGAGATTTTAAAACTTAATTTATGGATACCGCGCGCCGTGCGTCAGCTGAGCGCTCGCTCGACGCCGTAGATATGTACTCGTAGGTACCTATCTACACGGGTCACTGACCGCTCATTTTGTTAGATTCGAACTAGATTTTATGACATGATCTGAGGTGATTTCTAGGAGTAATTCCAATTTTCCCTTCATACTTTTATGGTTAAGGCCATCAAAATGCAAAAAAATAAAAGAGAAACAAATTCGTTACCTAGAAAAAAATATTAACGTTATGCCGAAGTTACATAGGTACTTCTGCGTTAAGGCGTATTTAAAAAAAATAGAATTAACTACGTATTTACAATAATGTTGAATCAAATTAATACCTAACTATGTATTTTTATTATAAATTACTTACCATGTATTTTAATATTTGTTCAAAATGAAGTCCACGTCGGAGAACTCAGACTCAGAAGATAAACTCGTACCATTTCGTAAAACTCAGGACGGCGGGCGCGTCGCGTGCGCGGGAACGCGAGGGCACGTCACATCGGCGCGTGCGTATGAGTCTCACTGCCGCCACTGCCGCGCGCGTCGCTCGGTCCCGGCGGGGCGGTGGGGGCTGTGGCGGGGGGCTACCGGGCGCGGCGAGGATGCACGGTGGTATACGCAAGAGAAGACGTTTTCATTGAAGTTTTATTTTAAAAAATGTGTCCATATTCTACCTTTTCGATAGGGATAATAATATAAAAAAAAATTAATTTAAAAAAAAATTCGTATACAGGAATATTATTTTTCCAGTGCAAAAATTTCTCCAAGTTCTCCAAGTTAAAAAACTCTATATAGCTACTATACTATTGTGATTGTGAATCTATTTTCTTCTAGACTCGAAGTTTGTTTGTTATTTATAGAAGTATTAGTACATTGTGGCACTACGCACTACTTGTAGATCATTTTTTAAAGAAAACTAGAGCAGAGCAAATAAAAAACTTAAAAAATACGCACTACGACTTCAATTTCTCTTCTAAATTATTATTTCAATTTACTCTAAAGACAGTTGTTACTTATCGATTTGACATATTTACTGGCCTGTGACGTCACGATCAGCGCCATTACACAGAGCAGCGTTTTTCGCGCGCTTTTGGCTATTTAAATTTTAACAATTATTTTCACCAAAAATATAAAAAGATTGCAATGAAATTAACAGTGTGTTTATAATGTAGCAAACAACGATTTAAAATTGTGTTGTGTGTGACTGTGAATACATTGAGAGTTGTGTTATGTATGGCTAGCTGAAAATCTTAGATGTCATCGCATCAGTTTAGAGCTCGCGAGTATATTAACATGGTGCACTGCTATGGTATGGCGCTTGGAAATGCTTCCGAGGCTTTACGGCTTTATCGGGCTGCAATTTGCATACCCCAATGCAAATCACCCTCGCGATCTGAGAGTGATCACTCGGGCTACACAGCGCCTTCTAGGTGGTGTCCGCACCCCAGAGAGGATGACCAGCTATCGAGGCTGCGACTGAGCAGGCTATCTTGGACGTAGTGGAGGAAAATCCACGCTTGGACATTCACACAGCGGCTAGAGTTCTTAGAAGAGGACCTGGACATCGCGTTCGTCACGTTGTTTCTCACTTCACCGTGCTCAGGTTACTGAAAAGGGATAA